CCAGAGAGCTGAAACGATTAGAGTCCATATGCCGCAGCCCAGTCTTCTCTCACATTTCGGAGACTCTGAACGGCCTGGATACGATTCGAACAAGAAGGAGACAAAGAGATTTCGTGGATCAATTTAACAGGTATGTTGGGAAATAGCGAAAAAATGGAATTTCATCAAATTCGCCCAGAACATGAAGCACTACGGGTACTAGTTACAGAAATATTGGTTTAAGTTTGATCAATCTTTGTTTTTTTTGACGCAGTTTATTTCTTTTCGATGCCCAAAATCGGCCAAAATTGATCTCAAATAAGCGCCATATTCAGAGTAGTCGTAACCTCGAAAGGAAAGATTGTCATTGCGAACTAATTAATTGCACGTCGTATTTGTACTTCGTTTCTTGTGTAGTTAGAGCTATTGTAATTGAAATTCAGAGATCTCGATTTAATTACGAATCATTTCACGAAATTTTGCAAGCTAATGACACAAGACAGCCACGTTTCAAATATAGGGTTGACATGAGACAAGCCCGTGCGCATATATTATTAACTTCATCCTTACAAAAAAGGTCAGTAATACAAATAATGACAAATATCCATAAACCAAACGAAAACGTTTGCACAATAGAAAAGACCATTTATAATCCAAATAAATAACTTAAAGAGCCTGATACAGTGTCACTTCCTTGAATAACATGTCAACAAGAAGTATCTAGGATAAAACGTACGCAGAAAAGTAAGTTGCGATGTGAAAGTCTGGATATATTATAGTACCTGTTGCTTTTTCTCGAAGATATCAAGATATTCATAACAAGTCATATATTATGGTGTTCGCCAGTGGTAGATGGCTTGGGGTTCGCATGGAGATTATCACCTCTCTGTTAATTGGTACAGTGGCCCTAGCGGCAGTTTTGGCGTCACAAGATGCCGGTAAGTATATCTTATTTTAGTATAAATCTACTAGCGTTCTATCACAAATGCCGTTCTCTGATTGGCTACCCTACTCACCATCTATTCTGTGATAGAAAGTGAGTAGCGTAGCAGTGTGCGGTTGTTTGCAAAATGACGGCCGCTTCTTGGCATTTTCGAAGTGTCTGTGAGGAGGATTTACATAACGTTTTGAATGACTAGTTGATTCGCTCTCGATTTCTATGCGTGATAGTTGACTTGGGCTGCGCCCTGCGCCCTCGGCCTTGCCGTATTGACCGAACGACAGCTGGGTCAATACGGCAAAGTCTCGGTCTGAGATTTTCCCGTAAAAGCCTCACTCTCGGTTAATAAGTAGTTAATGATCTTAATCAAATCTGCGAGTGGTATGTAAGCCGAAAAAGTCATGTGTTACTTCACGGCTACCGGACGACAATTTAAACAAATCCTTCAATAATATACC